TGGGAGACAGGGTCTTGCTCTGTCACCCAGGCTGTAGTGCAGGGGTGTGATCACAGCTCACTACAGCTTCAATCTCCTGGGCTCAGGCTGGGATCACAGGGGCACACCATTACACCCAGCTGATTTTTTCTTTTTTTTTCTTCTTTTTTTTTTTTGGTAGAGATGGGGTTTTGCCATGTTACTCAGCCCAGTCTCAAACTCCTGGGCTCAAGTGATCCTCCTGCCTTGGCCTCCCAAAGTGCTTGGATTACAGGTGTGAGCCACCATGCCTGGCCCAAAACCTTCTTTTGATGGTTTTGATCACACATAGTGAAATGAGAGGTCATGGAAATCAAATCGCTGGGCCACTCATTTTAAGCAAACACATTTCTGGACTCCACTCTGGGATTCTAATCCAGTAGATCCAAAGCAAGGCTCAGGAATCTCAATGTTTAATGTGCTGCCAAGTTCCTTCTGATGTGCGGCTACGTTTGATAGCTACTGGCCAAGAGTTAGAACTGTCAAATTGAGCGAAATCACCCTCAATTCTGTCTTTTTTCCCTTTGAAGAACAATCATTTCCGAACTATACAGTTAGCAAGTGTATTCATGTACCCAATATGGGCATACTGCATGTAGAAGACTAAGCAAGACCCCTTCTGTTATGGAACAAGTAATCTTAAATGAATCAGATAATTCAGGCTTATCCTAATCACAGAGCCTCACCATGGGAAAGATTATGGAAGGTAATTTGGTTCAATCCCCTAAAGAAATGTTATTTTTCTCAATACAGTTCACCGTTGAACACGGGTTTGAACTGTGCAGGTCCACTTACACGTGAATTTTTTTCTCCAACCAAAGGCAGTATTCCCAGGATGTGTGACCCGCATATACAGAGGGCTAATTTTGTTCTATACTCACGTTCCACGATATACAGAGGGCTGATTTTCTTCTATACTCACGTTCCACGGAGTGACTGTGGGACTTGAGAATCTGGGGCGAGGGTATCTTGGAACTAATCTGTAGTGGATACTGAGGTACAGCTATCTATAGAATCCTGACAAATAGTCATCTACCCTCACTGGAATACATCCACATCCCCTGTCCTCTGCGGCCGATGAGCCTATTCTGACTGTTGAAAAGTTCCCTTAGCCAGCCCATTGGACAACACCTTTTTGTTTTATTATACTTTAAGTTCCAGGGTACATGTGCACAACGTGCAGGTTACATAGGTATACATGTGCCATGTTGGTTTGCTGCACGCATCAACTAGTCATTTACATTACGCATTTCTCCTAATGCTCTCCCCCTCCCCGCCCCCCACCCCCTGACAGGCCCTGGTGTGTGATGTTCCCCACCCTGTGTCCAATACCTCTTTAGCCTTAAATTTGGAGGTCATTATAGAGATCTAATGTAGGATTGGAAGTTATCACCAGTTGGTTGTAACTACCATGTATTTGTAATTATTGTGCATTTCTTTAGTAAAACTAGGTATTACACTGTCCCAACTAAGCTTGGAGCCAACATGGATTATTTGATGCTAAAAGGAGCCCCAAAGTATTGCTTGATTTCACCCAGTTTACAGTGAACAATCAGAAAGAGCTGGGGATATTTATGTGGAAATTGTTCAAAAGGTTGGTGTATATTTCTGAACAAGATGTACAAATATTTTTAGGGGCTTTAAAAATGGTGTGTCATATTTTCTGTACTTAGGAACAATGTCAGTGAAGACAAAATATGGATTTTGACAATATAGTTTAGTGGGGTTGATTTTTGAGGTTGAAATATTAAAAGCCAATGTACTTGTGGTAAATTAAAAGGTATATATGTTATCTATCAGTAAAAGAGGAAGTGGCCAGAATATTATTACAAATTACATTCTATTAACAAAGTTTCTTTGCTGCCCGTTGATATGAAAAGTAAATATTGACCTAATGCCAGAACTTTACAATATGGGTACACCTTTCCCTTTCTGGTTAATAAAGTAGGATGGAAGGTTGTCAGATTCAAAAGCAAGTATGCAATTTGAAGAGTGGGGAAAGTATGATCACAAATATTGAATTGTTTGTATTAATCAACTGAAGTTTATTTCTATTCATTTCATGTGACTTTGTTTACTAGACCAAAGAGTTTGAGATTTGTTATTTAAAAAGGTCTTTCCTTTTTTAGGCTTTTAACTTTTATTTTTGAGAAGTAAAGGCTGTAGAATTGACCAATTTGAATAACCCTAAACCTGCATGAGGAAGAGATGTTCTTAAAACCACACGGCATGACTCTGTAGGCAATGTTAGAGGATTTTGGCATTCATTGTTGAATTTCGTGCACACGTTTTATTTTATTTTATTTTTAATTTGCATGTCAAAAAAGTGGTTCCCTTTTCTTTTCCTCGTTATTTCATTTTATTCTCTGTGAAGACACTGTAAATTTATTTTGATCTCATTTTCTTTTCGTTAGATTTATTTTCTTCTGTAGTGACATTTAGAAAGGTATTTTTGGTATCCTTCTTTGAATACTTCAGGGGTTACAGCTAACTGGTGACAGAAAAAAATATCTTGTTCACATTTGTCGCTTAATTATTGCACATCTCAGTACTCTTATAATTTCTCTAATTTGCATGTTACAGAACTGAAGCCAGGACAAGAAATAGAAATTAAAGCGAGAGAACATTACCAAGTGGTCGTTGACTGAAATAATAATCTGCATGTTGTTTTCCCTTCTCCCTCCTGCATGCAGGGATTTGGTTTCGTAACTTTCGAAAATAGTGCCGATGCGGACAGGGCGAGGGAGAAATTACACGGCACCGTGGTAGAGGGCCGTAAAATCGAGGTGCATGTTCAAAATATTTTCCTTTTCATCTTTTTTATAAATGTCTGCTTCACGCTCATTCGTTGTTCCAGATGCATCATTGGCGTCTTGTATGTGACCCTATTCCCCCTCATTGTTTATATATATATATATATATTTTTATATATAAAAAGGAAAACTGGCCTTACTTTTTTTTTTAATTTTACTTTATTATGTTACTCTTATTACCACTGAAAGGTGGATGGCAAACGTGAGACAAAAGAAAGGTTAACCGGAAAGGGTTTTTTGTTGTTGTTATTTTCTATGTTTTATAATTAATGGGTGCAATAGGTTCCAAAGAATAGACAGTGTTGCAAACCAAATAAAATACAGAACAGTTTGTTTTTCTTTTTCTTTCCACTTCAGGGTTGAAGAGGGATCCACAGTGGTTTGCAAATTAAACCAAATTGGGAAAGCAAAAAAGATTGTATTTTTTGTTTTCTTTTGTTTTGTTTTTTGGAAAAAAAAAATCAGAGGTTTTTACTAAACCTCTGATTTTTTTTTTTTTTTTTAAGAAGCCAGTTTGAATTTCTGTATTCTTTTGATAACAAAGTGAATAACCAAACAGGATTTCCTGTTCAATATCTGGCCCCTGTTCACTGAAAGCATAAATACCAAAATACTGACACTCAGAGTCTGCTATTTGTGCCACTGGGATCTCCCGCAACATAGCCACAGGGTCATATTTGTTAAATTTTTTTTTTAATACCAGTTACAAATGCTTTAGTCTTTGGAGTAAGATGTTGCATATTTTGCCTTTCATTTTCCCCTTCGACGATAACGCTTAGGCCCCTCACCAAACTCTCAGTAACCATGGTAACTGTATACAAACCCATGCTGGCGATGGTGGTGAATGGTAAGTGGTGAAGTCCATCTGCCGTTTCACGTATTTAGTGCTGATATATCTATATACATATATATACCACGTGAATTTTTTTGACTTGTCGTATTAAGTTTTCTTGATGCTCTATTTTTTTGGATATTGGTACGCCTGTAATTGAGTGTACGTTCTAAGCTAGCCTGGGAGGCACTGACTGGATTGAGTTATGACCGGTGCACATCTTACTCAGATTGTTAACTCCATATTGTGTTAAACAATGCACCCTCTCTTTTATCCTTTTGTTAGCTGTGACTTTAAAGCTTGAATGATTTTGTTAATTCTTGCGATGTAAAAGGCTCTTGTTCCAAGTGTTGAATGCTAGATGTTGCTTTCCTGATGGTTCTTTCCTCTTAAAGTGTTGCACACGGCTAAGACTTGTTTGTCCCTTTTTTTGACATTTATGTTCCCTTGTACCTTGTCTATTCTCTCTTCTCCACTGCATGCTCCTTCATATAAATTTTATTTTATGTTAAAAAAATATTGTTTCTGTGTTACCATGGAGTACACGCATGCTTTTAAATCTTCAATTATGCAGTATCTTTTAATTTGCTTTTACTGTCTCTTTATTAAACTCTTAATGATATGACATTGCTTTATTGAAATGATTTGTAAGTTAAATGGTTATGAAGTACATGTAATTTTTAAAATGTATGATTTTGTTATGCACCTACTGCCTTTTATAAATTAAAATGCATTTTAGTTTTCAGTTTTCTTTTTTTAATAAGTAATCACGGTCATAATGCATGCAACTAATTGAATTGGGAGCTGGCCCTAGAATATGTGCTTATTTGAGTTTTCTATGTACATAGGTAAATAATGCCACAGCACGTGTAATGACAAATAAAAAGACCGTCAACCCTTATACAAATGGTAAGTAGAGATTGGCCTTTTACAAGAAATTCTCTCTACCTCTAACTCTTCAAGTAATGTAACCAGAGATTCTATTACAACAAGCTGTGTTTGCTGGGCATCGACACTGTTTTTACTACTGACCTGCTGCTACAGTGAACCACCTACATCAGTAAGATTATTTTCACAACAAAGGCAAATGGAGTGTTCAGGTTAAGTGTGTATGCCCTTTTTCCCTTCTTTCTAGAATAACTCTTGTTTGGGATTGAGATACAGCAATTATTTGGAAATTAGTTTGATAATTTAATTGGTTATTACAGTAAGTTGAGGGGAGAATTGGAGGTTTAGTTTGTTTGCTTTTCAACACCATCTCCTCGTTGATTACTAATCATTCCTGGAGGTGCAATCACATAATTTATTCTGTCTTTGAGTCTTCTCCAGAAAGATTAGGCATTTGAAGTGGTTTGGAGGATACCTCATGTCTGAATTCCACAGGGTTATCAGAACGTGTGAGTGAGTTATTTGTTTCTCTCTGGGCTGCTCAGTGTTATTTTGGGCTAGTTGAGAATGTTGCTAGTTGAGTTGTGTATTGCAGACCCCATCAGGATAATGGAATTTCTGTTCTTATCAATAAAACTTCTGAAAACTCCTAAAAAGCATTCACATATGAGTCATTAAAAAATGTTCAAACATTTTGATTCTTTAATTCTTCTCAAAATAAGTATCTCTTAAGATATATGAGGGAGAAACCTGCCACTATGTTAATCACATACTTAATTGTACCAAAAATTAAAGCAATGAAGTTGAAGTATAGACACAGGGTAGAATATTATGCCCATTAAAATGAGCAGGATACAGACCATAAAGGGTCTCATAATTAAAAAATTGAAATAAATGTTTATAGCATAACTTTAGATAAATGATAACATGCCAAAATGCTAATTGTTGTGTTAAATTGTGAGACTGACATTTTTTCTTTGATTCAGGTTTATGAAAATAATATAACTTTATTACATCAAAAGGAGATATATGGAATTTTATAGTTCTAAAGTTTTAATTGCACAAGGAGATACTTTTTAAAAGTAAAAAAAAAAATTAAAAGCAACATTAAAAACAAGTCTAAAATATATTTTAAATAACTCCATTGCCACCCTGGTTTCCTACCTCCCCATCACAGGAAGCCACAATTACAGATTGCTGTCTAGTTTTATTTTGCGTATTCATGCCTATGCACGTAATAGGTGTTCATTTGTAGTATTCACAGGATTGTATATTTTTATGTGACTAATATGATACACCTGATAATTGGGTTTTTATAAATCTATATAGAGTTCTTTCAATATATAAAGATTAGACTAATTCATTTCAGTGGTTACATAATATTACACAAAACAGATAAATGGGTTCAATCAGAACTAAATACTGATTGTTAGATCATTGTTTTGTTTTATTGTGATTAGCAATGTATTGTCACTTGGTAGTTTTGTTTTTCCTGTTTCTTTGCCAGTGACTACCAATTTGACAGTCAGTTTGCTCTTGATTTTAAAAGGGGCATCATTAAACAGGGATATACCATCTATGTAATAGGGCTCTAAGTTGAAAGACCAGAAGAATTGCTTATTCTGCTGACCGTTTTTCTCAACTTTAGCAACCAAGACATGCCCTTAAATGGTAAAGACTATCTTCACACCAGACTTTTAATGGCCAGTGCGGAACTGAAGCAAACCTCTGATTTATGTGTCATACAGCCTTTCTACTTGGGGAAAAGCAGTGACTCTGAAACTTGCTAGATTTAAAACATGGTGACATCAACCTGACGGTTGGGCAGTCTTTAATTACAAAGTTGCACAGTTGCCCAGGCACATGCGAGCCTGTTTATGACTAGCTGCTCATGTGTGCCCAGTGAGAAACTAGAGCAAGAAAAGCCAAATATTATTCCATAAGCCATGTGCATGTATATTTATTTTAAAAGAGTTATTGATCAATTTTATGCCCAGGGACTGAAAACTAGTCCTGTAGGATTTTTTAAACACGATTCAAAGCCCGTTTATAAATAACTAGCCTTTCTGGAATATGAGGTATGCTTTATATGAGGCATTTTAAGTGCACTAGACACACATGAAGTCCTGTAAAGAGGACATGATTATCCCTACTTTAGAGATGCAACATTGAGGCTAGAGAAGATGAAGTAATAAAGCAATTTTTTTTTTCTTTTTTGAGACAGGGTCTCACTTTTTCACCCAGGCTGGAGGGCAGGGGCACAATCTTGGCTCACTGCAACCTCTGCCTCCCAGGCTCAAGCAATCCTCCCTGGTAGTTGGGATTACAGCCACATGCCACAATGCCTAGCTAGTTTTTTACTTTTTGTAGAGATGAAGTTTCACCATGTTGCCCAGGCTAGTCTCGAACTCCTGAGCTCAAGCAATCTGCCTGTCTCGGCCTCCAAAAATGCTAGGATTATAGGCATGAGCCACCACTTCTGGCCTAGCATTTTCTTTTTATTATGAAGTAACAGAATCTTGTGACCCTGCCTGCGTGTGTGTATCAGGCATCACTTTCCCTTTGTCTTCTTGTAGAAATGCACTCAAGTGGCAATCAACTACAATAGTAAAAAAATTGCTAAATGTGCAACCTCGTGTTCCTGCCCGATGTTGCCTTGCACATCCCATGTCCCATTCCAGGTAGCCATGCACTCAGTTTCCAGGATTAAGTCAGTCATACAGGTCTCTCATCCATGTACCTGCAAAAGGAACTCAGAATTGTTCGTGTCACACATACTGAGTATGGCACCTAAGGACTTGATGGATAGACACAGTAGAATTTATTAAAAACAAATGTCAATTCTAATTATATAAAGACTGTGGCTTCTGTAGTGGAGATTATGGAGAACTTTGGTATTCAAAGAAAAGTAGTCCCAAGTTTCAACTCATGAGTATCGCCACTACAAATAAATTCCCTTAAGTGGCAATACAATATTACTGATAAAATATAGGGCCCTCTCAAATCCTTAATAGGCAGGAGGATAGAGTTATGGCAAAAGAGGGTAAGTCAGGACCAATAAAGTCACATTGAAATGAGAAAATTAAGCCATCGGTGAGGTTCACTCATTAGCTTCATATTTCATTCTCGCAAAGCATAGAAATGGTACTTCAGCAAAATTATAAATTACTAGAGCTATCAAAGTTTCAGGTCATCTCCAGGTGATGAAATATAGTCATCAATGCCAGCATCACATTCATACATTACCTCAATCACATATCCAGAAAAAGTTTTAGCAGCTGCAAAGTTTCCAGTGATAAAAAAGACTGAATTCTAAATGTGATGGGATACCTGTCTGTTAGAGAGGTGTATGGTTCGTAACATAGAGGGTGTGGATGCTATTCTCAGGATATTTAAACAATGACATAAGGAAAAGCTGTAGAATGAGCTGTAGGCTTCTGGATATTCTATTGAAAGGTTCCCCAAAGAGGGAATTGGACTATTTCTCTATTGCTATTTCTCCTAAGGACACCTACCCACGCGGAGGAGTTGGGGTTTGCTGTATTCTTCGGGGATCAGATGTTGGATCTGCATTACAAGATCGAGAGCTGAATTCACAAGGATTTCCTGGATACTGGGGAAGCATGGGTGCTAGACATGGCTTTTTCATTTTCTTAGAGATGTTAGGAAGGATGAAAATAGGGCAAACAAATCCAAGACTCTGGAGAGAGGTAGACTTCGTTGCCAGTATCAGTTCTGCCATTCACTGGCTGTTCAATCGTAGGCAAGTTGTTTAAACTCTCCATGTGCCAGCTCTCTAGTGGGAACCAAACAAATGATGGGAACTACATCATAGTTCTTTGTGATAATTATGAGAGATCAAGTACTCAACACAATGCTAGGCATGCAAAGCGCCCTAAAAGATTTTTTTTACTGCTATTTATAGCCCAGTAGTATTTGATTACACAGTCTCAATATTAAATCATATTATTCCTTTATTGTCATGGATAGTTGAATTCCCTGATAGATACTAGTTTAAGGATCAATTCTTCAGATGCTAAAAGGGGCTGAACAGGTAAAAGAGAGTCTTTGAAAAACTTAGTCTTTTGGGACTGGCTATTGTTTCCTTACTGAAGTAAAGTAAAATATTTATCTACAAGGAAAAATCAACAGCACTACCACCACAAAGTAACAATAAAAGATCTCAAACATTTGATCTCCACATCAGGCTCACGATGGGGAGCAGTGGCACATGTGACTAAGTGGGAAGTTAAATGCACTAGCCCCTGGCCACCTCTAATAAGTCTGTCTATGAGGGATTCTCAGCTTAAAGTTACCATTTGTAGCAATGTTTCAAGAGAAATAGAAATCCCGTATTTTAGACGGAATTTAAACGTTGGCAATAAATACACGCCATTAAAGAATACTGAGTGAACCCAAACAAAACACCTTTGTACCCAACGCACACCTTGCTTCTTTTTGCTTCGTATTTGAGAGTTGCCTCCTGTACCGTGTCAGCTGCCAGGTCTCTGGCATCCTTAGTATATGTCTTTAGAAAGCATTGACAGGCAGTTTTTGTAACTCCTGTAGTGTACATAAGGATGCTCTCTGGAATGCGTTCCTTTGATATGTAACCCAGCAAAGCCTTAGAGAAAACCTGTGCTGATGTTTTTTGTGTGCACATTCAGACTTGGTCTTTTAACACCCAATGCAGTCACAGGTAACATAGTTAATATAGGTCGTAGCCAGCATCTTTTAGAAATGCTGACACTTGACCTGTGATAAGCTAAATTTGGGGAGGGGAGTGCCAATTCGGATATAGCCCCTTGATTCCCGGCCACAGAGGGGTCTAAACTGCTAGTGTGTCTGATAGAGCCAGACCCCAAGACATCTGGTCTCTGCTCCATTGCCTTGTTGCAAGGCTGGAGGGGCCCTGGGAGGCTGGGACCAGTGGGCCTTATCCGCTGTTCTCCTTTTGTTGTAAGCCTCATTGTTCAGTTTAATGTCCTTGATCAAAATCTCTGAATTTGCAAGGCCTGGGGACATACACAAACTGCCTAAGAAATTAAAAATGGGATCATTTTGTTCATCTTCCTGACAGTGCAGACTCTTATCTCCAGCAGGGTTATCCCAAGGGTCTCTTTCAGGTACGAGAAGGAGTCACAGGGAATGTGGGTCCATTTGCATGTGATTTGCATGCATTTACATAAGCCCACATGAGCTCTGTAAGTCTGAGTGGAGGTGATTTTCAAGGGCTGCATTCTAGACCAAATGGACATAACTGACATTTACAGCATACCTTATCCAGCAGCTGCAGAGTACATCTTCTCATCAACACATGGAACATTCTCCAGGGTAAGCTACATGTCAGGCCACCAAACAAGTCTCAATAAATTAAAAAAATTTTTAAACTATATCAAGTATTTTCTTAGACCATAATAGAATAAAACTAGAAATCAATAGCAAGAGGAACTTTGGAAACTGTACAAATACTTGGAAATTCAGCAGTGTGCTCCTGAATGTCCACTGGGTCAGTGAAGGAATTTTAAAATTTTCTGATATAAATTAAAATGGAAACATGACATGCCAAAGTCTATGGGATACAGCAAAAGCAGTGCTAATCAAAAAGTGTATAGCAATAAATGCCTACATCAAAAAAGTAATTCAACTAAGCAACCGGGACAACAGTCATCCCTAACAGGATTCTTTATTTAATATATAGCCCTATGTGAAGCAGGTCCTTGAAGATTGGAAGGAGACATAATCAGAGCCAAAAAAAAAAAATTAGTCTCTTAGGAAAAAACTCTATATTCCTTTAGTTTATTTACAGAAAAACCAAGTAAATACTTATGGAATGCTTACTTTGCCAAACAATGTTTTAGGTGCTGGAGATTCATGTTGGATAGCAGTCTTGCCTGCTTGACTTAATTGTGATGAGGGAGAATGGTTATAAAAGACGATTAAGAGCAAGCAAAGAAAGAAGTTAAATCCAGATAGCATTAACGGCAATGCAGAAAATAAAACTGGGAATGGAATCATGGAATCCAAGAGTAACTCTAAGAGGAGGTGGGAAAGTGACATTAACTGGCATGTTCTGAAAAGACTCCAGAGCCCTAAATAACATCAAGTCAACTTTGTGAAGAACTGGAGAGTTCTCCAAGGATAAGGAGAAGTGGATACAAAGAGACTTTGATATACGGTGATCTTGGGGGGGTTTATAAAGATGAAAATGCCCAGTATCACTGTAGCTGGGAGAGAAGGGGACAGGGAAACAAAGGGAAATGGTACCAAAGTGGTACCAAATAGTTTGGTTAATAGTCAGTGTGTGCTTTTTCACTAAGGTAAGACATGTGTGCTGATCTTAAGTTGGGAAGGAGCTATTGAATTCTGAGTAGCAGGATGATAAAGCTGATGTTCTTTTTAAAAATTGCTTTGGTCACTATGACCAGAATGGACATGGGGGAAGGAGGAGGAAGAGGAGATGGTGAGAATTGGGGCATTTCTGCTGTTGGACCTGTCCAAGTAGAGATGGGAATGCCTTGGTCTGTAGTGGTGGCAATGGAGAAGGAGGGAAGAAATTTTCAAGTTTTAACCAACAGAATTTTCTAATGGATTGCACATGGGGTATGAAGGTAAGAGATGAATCAAGGAAGTATTGATGAATAATTTTATTTTGAGCAACCAACTAGATGGAGATGCCATTTGCTGAAGGGAGAAAGACTTGGTGAATAACAGGTTTCATGAGTAGAGAGAGAAGAGGGAGACTAGAAGTTGGGTTTTCACATGCATTGTCGAGTTCAGAAAGGACTTTGGTTTCCTATAGTAGGAGTGGGGTAGCCTTGTTTAGAAGGGATCAAGGATGGGAAGAAGGTTGACACCTGCACTCATGTTCCCATAATGACCGGAGCATTTCATTTTGTGACACACAGATTCCCAGTTGTTTTCTTGTAGAGGAGACTTTATCAATTATATTTCTAACAATTGATAGTTACAGACATGAGATAGCACAGATCTCCTGATGGAGAATATGAGAATATCATTTATTTTCTATTTTTTTTTAATGAAGAGATTGCCATGGGTAGACTTCGCAAACTCATAACTTGCAGAAAGACAGGGAAACAAACAGCAGATTATAGGTGGATAGATAGATTATAGGTATGTTTATAGATAGAAAGGTCAGTAGATAGATGGATACGTAGGTAGGCAGATGAGATAAACATGATTTCTAGGCAGCCTCAAATGCCTCTGAGAGATCTGTAATTTTTTTGTTTTATTTTTAGAAAAATGAGGCCACTGGCAAATTTACAATCTTTAAGAGCTACACCAAAATTCATTGATAAGTATACCTTCAATGAAAAGGAAAAGCAAGTCTTATATGCAGAAGAAAGTATTTAAGGTAGTAAGGATATTCAAAAAACAAAACCTGAGATGAACAGTATGGAAAAGACACCATCTCCACTACCAATAAGAGGGAGGAGCATCAGTAGGGTATGAGATGGAGAACAGTAGAAAGATGAAGAGTGAGCACTTAATTATTCGTGACCCCATATAGATTGAGTTCACAAATTCTAGGTTTCTGTGAATGTCTGCAGCTTTATTTTCTACTAGTTTTTTGTACTTTTTTTTTAGACTCCAAGTTGAAATGTAGACATTAATTTCCATATCCTCAGGAATTGGACTTTTTTAAGAAAAAAGGAAGCAGTGGAATTTCAGTTGGTCAAATTGAAGTCATTTCCATACTCATAAAACACATTCTGAAATGTCTGAACTAATATTTATTTTTCCATCACTATAGAAATTCTTATAAGGCAAGATGTGATTAATACAAGAGAGGAGGGTGTCAGTATGGAATTTCAGAAACCGGTAGGGCAATAGGTCTCAGAATTTCATGTTTCTTTCTGTCGCTCTAAAAATGGGGCCTAGGAATTAAATATGCCTCCCAGGTAATTGAAGTGTTAACACTTTGAGAAACTATTCTAAGATCAACTCAGGGGCTGTAAACCACCTAGCTTCTTGAAGTTGGAATTGAAAGTTCTTAGAAAACATTCTTAAAAAGTTTTAGAAAGTTCTGGATTTCAACAGACATACTGGCCTGTTGAGTTAGTGAGCCTCCGTTTTCCTTAGTGGATATTAGAACACCTCTGGTCTATTCTTAGGTGGGGCAGAAAGTCACACCTCTCTCTTCTCTGCAGACCACAGGGAGTTCTTACTGTCAAAAATACCTTCCTTCACTTTCAAACTTTTATCATTGCCTTTTCTCAGAAACATTTATTAAAGGATCTTTAGTATTTGATCCTCTGCTCAAGGACTCAGAGCAAAAGGAGTACACATCTTACCCTCCTCTCTTTCAAGGTTTTTTTGTTTTTCTTTTTGAGACAGAGTCTCGCCCTGTCACCTAGGCTGGAGTGCAGTGGCACCATCTCAGCTCACTGCAACCTCTGACTCCTAGGTTTAAGCGATTCTCATGTCTCAGCCTGATTAGTTGGTACTACTTTGTATTTTTAGTAGAGTCAAAGTTTCGCCATGTTGGCCAGGCTGGTCTCTGGAAACCCCTAGCCTCAAGTGATCTGCCTGCCTTGGCTTCTCAAAGTGGTAAGATTACAGGCATGAGCCACTATGTCTGGCCTGCATGGAGTTTTTTTATTTCTTTTGAGATGGAGTCTTGCACTGTCACCTGAGCTAGAGTGCAATGGCGTGACCTCAGCTTACTGCAACCTCTGCCTCCCAGGTTCAAGCGATTCTCCTGCCTCTGCCTCCCAAGTAGTTGGGATTACAGGTGCCCACCACCACGCCTGGCTAATTTTTTGTATTTTTAGTAGAGATGGGGTTTCACTATGTTGGCCAGGCTGGTCTCAAACTCCTGACCTCGTGATCTGCCTGTTTCAGTCTCCCAAAGTGCTGGGATTACAGGCGTGAGCCACCGCATCCGGCTTCCACATGGATGCTTTTATAAAGGCTTAACCAGTAGGAGCAGGAAACAATCACAAAACCCTAAAATGTTATCATTCTCTGGAAATTGTTCCCTAAATAATGCCCAGCATATATGTAATGTGCTTTCCAATTTGTGAAAATTCTTGTATGCTCTTTTTTGTGAGTAAAGATTTCTAAAGGGCCAGGATTCATTTTACAAAAACCTCTCCATCCAGAACATTTGGAAAATTACAGGATTCCATTCATCATATATACAGGTTATCTGAAAGTTACCTTAGATATCATGCATTGATTAAAAATTTTTTACGGCTCCTGAATGCATTAAAATGTATTCCACAGTAAATCTCTAGGGGATAAAATATTATTTTCTTTGGTCTTCACGAAGCACTTTGGAATTCTCTAGTATCTTGAGGTTATAATTAGGAATGACAATTGTTAGAATATATTGCTGCCAAGAATTTTGTTTATGCAAGCTTTCTAATTTCTGTGAACTTAATGCAGAGGGGTGTGATGGATTATCTAGCAGTGATATATGAAGACAAAAAATTGAAATTATTATAGTAGTTCTAAAAAATATTGGTAGAGTAGAAAATTAATTACCATGTCATTTTCAAAGGATTCACTTGTGGCTGGTCAGTAGTTTCCATTCCATTAACTTGCACTGGCAGAAAATCAAAGGAGGGCATGAATCCATTTTCTTCTGTATGATTTTTACATATTTTTATGCTTGCCCAAACAACACCTCCTGTACATTTTAAAATACAAAATAATTTAACCCATTTGATTTGTGATTCATTTGCAATTATATAAGATGTTGAATGAAATGTGATAATAATGTTTTTGTGTATTTGTTTTAAGGCTGGAAATTGAATCCAGTTGTGGGTGCGGTCTACAGTCCCGAATTCTATGCAGGTAAAGAGTTTCTCTTTGCACGAAGTCTTCTCGGTCTCTTCTAAATGTGCTTTGCCTGCCAAGAATGAATGGGTTTTGTAAAATAACCTGAAGCAAGTGAATTCCTATCCTAACAAGTTCTGAATGATTTCTTTGGGCAAAATCAACAGTGCTTTAAACAGTTTAAAAATTACAAGGGAATCGTGAAAGTTTCGTGGTTGGGGGGGTCAGCATGGAGCCACTGTTCCTTAGGACAATTCACATTGATTTTGCCCTAAAAAAGCATTGTGACTTTGTTCAATAGTGTATTGAACAAATGGAGAGCTGCTCGCGCCCAGTGTATTTCAATGTGCCTGAATGTGTGTTGTAGCCATACATTTCCATTTGGGGTTGGCATTTTCTTTTTCCTGGCAAAGCAGAGAGCTGAGTTGGCTTCATTATTCCAATAATGCAGGAGTGATTTGGAATTGCCAAGGGAAGGCCTATTTCGATAACTAAAAAAAAAAGTAAGTTGTCTGTCTTCGTTAATGAATCAATTTCCCTTAGCAATTCCTTCTCTCTCTACTTTGCCTTCCACAATATGTCTCTCTCCTCACCCCTTCCCTGCCTAAGCACCAATTCCATTCTCTTAGAAATTTGGGGACAGCATAACCCAGAAGCAGTAGCGACTGAGATGTCGTATCTTGGTGTCCTAGGCGTGGCCCGTCACTACTGCCTGTATGTCTCCTTGCTCCTGAACAAGGCTGTATTGAATACTTAGGACCTTAGAAGTAGATTTGCCACATGGATATTTAAAAGAAGTCTTTGATGTGGCTTTTGCTTTTTGATAAGGAGAAATAAATAATCCATTGATCTAGAACCACACCCTTAGTAACCTCTTGACGGTAAGTCATACCCCTTGCTTTGTTTCTTCCTGGGCTGCCTAACTTTTGTCATTTTCCTGATACTAAACACTGACCCTTGTAGATGACAAGGGAACATAGAAAACTTAGCTACTCTGGCACAACAACCAGTCTGACAAAATTTAAGTTAAAAAATGTGGTAAATCTGGAAAGGCTCAACAGGATAACCGATTCCTGGATTTTACGTAGGCGATGTTTGGAGTTATTCTTCATGTGTGAGTTTTACCAGGAGCCTGGATTAAGTCCAGAGATTCTAACGCTGCAAAATAGCTGTGTTCAGTCTTATGGGGGGAACAGACTTAGCCGTCAGGCTTTCCATGATCATATTGTGAACCCCACACCCTCCTAAGAAGACACCTCTGCTGAGTGAGGAACATGGAAACCATGCCTACACAGCTCAGGTTCAAATTCTGCTTCCCGTACTCACTAGCAGTGTGACCCTGGGCAAGTTACTTTACCTCTCTGTGCCTCAGTTTCCTCATCTGTTAAATGGAGATGATAGTAACAAACTGATTGGTGTTTATTAGAATTAAATGCGTTAATATACGAAGAGTGGTGCGTAGCCAGCCCCTGTAAACGTTTAGTAAATAAAAATGAGTATGTTCATCGCTTTGCCAGGAAGGGAAAGTTAGCCGCGTATTCCGCTAAATTCTAAGTATACTATGAGACGAAGAGATTCTTTTCTTCATTGATGAGAGTACTAGTCCTTTAGCTCTCAGCGTGTTCATTTAGGGGTTAATTTCTGGGATCAGAGGCATGGTAGTTTATTCAGGGGACACACAGAACATGGCATGTGTTGCTGGGATGCATCTTTGTGCAAAGCTGCAAGGAAATCAAATGCCCCAAATGGTTGAAGATTCAGACAACAGCTTCTATGCCTCTGCAGCAGGCACTGCCCATGAGTGGAGAAGTTAAAGAAATATCAGTTTCTGTCTATGTGCGCATATCCGAGTGCATATTTTCAGCCTAAAATAGCCGAGGGGAGAACAAGTAAGCCTTCTTGTGGGGAGGAAGGGTATGGATGCGTGCGTTGCGGTGAAGAGGGAGAAATGCATTTTTACATTTTTCTGATCCTGTGCAATGGAGTTGTCAGTTACCCTTGGGTCTAGTAAGGAAGAAAATACCAACTATCTCCGTTACTTGTACTTTCAAAGCCACAAACGTATCTGTGGGTGTTTAGGAGGACATTAAGATGACAGAAACGGTTCAGACCGATTTATACATATGAGAATAAATTAATCCGCATGACTTCTAGAACATTAGAGCAGCTATTCGGATTAGCCCAGGGCTGAGCCTCAGAAGTTAGATCATTAGGTTAGAGGAAGACAAAATGTTACAATGTAAGTTAATATTTACTGGATACTTTCTATGGGCCAGGCACTGTTCTAAGCACTGTACATAAGTTTATTGTATTTAATCCTCATGCCAATTTTCCGTATGAGGAAACCAAAATACAAAAAGTTGGTATTACTGCTCTGAGATTTCACAGCTGGTCAGGAGGAGGCCAGATTTTGAAATCAGGCTTTGATCATCTCAGAATTCATGTTCTTTACAATCAGTTGATACTGGTGAGTTGTGTTTTTTTTTTTTTTTTTTTTTTTTTTTTTTTTTTTTTTTTGCCCAGGCTGGCACGATCTTACCATCTCGGCTCACTACAACCTCCACCTTCTGGGTTCAAGCAATTCTCCTGCCTCAGCCTCCTGAGTAGCTGGGATTACAGGTGCCCGTTACCATGCCCGGCTTTTTTTTTTTTTTTTTTCTTGTAGAGACAGGGTTTTGCCGTGTTGGCTAGGCTGGTCATGAACTTCTGATGTCAAGTGATGCACCAGCCTGTTCATTTTTTTTTTCTTAATATTAAAGGTCATGATTCCGTCGACTGTCTCCTATGATCATGCTACTGCTCTGTGTGCAAACCAAAGGAATGAAAGAAGAGAAGTAACATAATCATTCTGTATTATTCCAGCTGCCACCACCACCACCATATTCAACAAGTGTTACCTGAGAAATCTGAGTATCTGTGTTTCATGCTGCCACTATCTGGATTATCCGGAAAATCCACACACTTTCCTTTTCCACTGTACATTTGTATGTAGGTAGACAGAGCTCACGATATTCAGAAATGTGGGGACAAGTTGCTGTAATTTTAACACTGCAGAGCAATTCTTTTGAAATATTTGAAGAGCTGCAAACACTGAAAGTCTGGCTGGCTTAAATCTGAAGTTTCAGGCACCTGCATTTACGGAATGGACCTCTGCAAAGTGGTAGATTCAGAGCGCATTCATTTCCATATCCAGGTATAATTATTACTGTCATGCATCTATATAGCCCTGACTAAGAATTTATGGGGCATTTTAAATTTCCCTAGCTATAAAAATAGCCTGAATTTATCTTGCAATTCTGAGTGTGCCTCAAAGCTGAAATGAAGACCTTGTCATTGATTTGCTTTTTATTTTTAGTAGGCTGGCTCTGTATCTGCTTAAGATAGAAAGCCAGACTTATTAGTCATTTCTCTATATAAGGTTGTGTGTTAATGACATATTTTATAATATCCCCATAGTGTAATTATTTGATTTTCTGAAGCTTATGCAGAATTAACAACCCAGCCTCCAATTGTCTCAGAATGGGGCATGAAAAGTTCACATATTTTGTAAATTAAAATCAATATTTTCAATCTCTCCTAAAGGTAATTTTCCTAATTTAGTAGACTTAAAAGAGAAAGTAGACCATTTACTTTCTCTTTTAATTATAAAATGGCAAGTTATTGGCCAGGCGTGGTGGCTCACGCCTGTAATTCCAGCATTTTGAGAGGCTGAGGAGAGTGGTCTCAGGAGTTGGAGACCAGTCTGGCCAACATGGCGAAACCTCGTCTCTACTAAAAATACAAAAGAACTAGCTGGGCATGGTGGCGTGCACCTGTAATATCAGCTACTTGGGAGGCTGAGGCAGAAGAATCACTTGAACCTGGGAGGCAGAGGTTGCAGTGAGCCAAGGTTGTACACCACTGTACTCCAGCCTGGGTGACAAGAGCAAAACTTCATCTTCAAAAAAAAAAAAAAAAGGCAAGTTATTGATTTTTGTATGTAACATTTTGACTCCCGGAGTACATTTTTACTGCAAACTCGGGGTGAGGGCAGGAAGAGCCATTGCACTTCTTAATGAGGACCTTTAATTATTATTTGCATTGATAAATTATGACATTCCTTCTCCCTCACACATGCACTGCAAAGGAAGCATTGAGAAATTTCTAATATATTTTGGGTGATTTTTCTTTTCTGAATTCTCATCAAGTCATACTTATAAAAACCCTTCTAAATGCTTATGCCGTGCCAGTCTTCAGACAGATACACATACATAAGCACATCCCATGACAAATATTAATGTACACCTTCTCCCAGGAGAGATGGGTAGTTTTCTGTAAATCAAGAACAGCATTGATAATTTCTAAATCTAATCATCTCCAGAGTCCTTGGGGTTTATTCAAGACATATGAGGGTAAGTCCCCACACACAAATCCAGGTGAGTCATGAAGCCTTTGGCCAATGTCTATGGCCCTTCTTTAGAGTTTAAGTAAAATTGAAGGCAGTAAGGAGAAATAGACTGGGAATATCTGTACCCAGTAGCAGGCCTCATGTTATTTAGTGTAATTGAAAATAGTGTTTCCAAGAATCTGGAGTAAGAGGCCTCAGAGGGGATTCTTACACTTTCCCTGTCATTGTGAGAATTTCCCTTGTCTTCTAATAAAAAAATATATATATTTTTAAAAGTAGTATCTTTTAAAGATAATCACAATATCCAGCCAATGAAACTGTTGATTTATGGCCCCTTTAATGTTCATAAATAAGTAAAGCAGAATCAAAATAAATAACAGAAGGTTATACAAAGTTGTCAGCATGGTGCTGACAAACGGTGAATTTATCTGTTTCTCAATTGCCAGGAAGATACACACTGCAAAGCTCACCCACGTTGTATATCATATCTGCCAACTCATTTCTGTGATTAAATATTCCATCAGTGGGGCTATAAGGCAGCAAAGCTTAACAAGATTCATAAGATGCACCACTTGAACACACATAACTCACTTCCATGGATGGAGAGCACCCCGCCTGCAAAGGGAAATTG